TCGTCTTCCATGTTAGGGAAGTTTTCTTCCAACAACTCTTGAATGTCTGTTTTCTCGTCTTCCATGTTAGGGAAGTTTTCTTCCAACAACTCTTGGACAGTATTTTTGATGGTTGTTTTGTCTCTTCCTGTTCTAGAACTCCTATCAAATGTAAGTTTTTGCTCTTGATAGTGCCCCATATAAATCTCAGACTTTCTTCAGATTTTTTTTTTAATTGTTCCTCTAGCAGATGAATATTGATTTTTCTTCAAACTCAGTAATTCGACCTTCCTTTGAGTCAGTGTGACTTTTTTGCCCTTTCAGTTGTTACCTATTTCTGAAGTTTTGGTGTTAATTTTCTGACTTTCTGACTTTTGTCTGGTTCCCGTTTAAAAAAAAATTTTTTTTGCATTTGTTTTGTCAATTTGTTTCCTGAATGTTTCTGTAGTTTTGTCTGATTTCCTCTGCTGTTTTCTCATTCTCTGAATCCGTTGAATGTGCCTATATAGCATTCTTTTGAATTCCTTATCGGGTAGTCCCCAAACCGTTTCTGGCATTACACTTTCTGATTCTGTCACTTGGTCACTTGTTTGAGGCACTCTTGTTCTTGTTGGTAAGCTATAATTGTTTTCTCTTTGAGACGTTCTGGTATATCGTATTCACATTTAATTAATGATTCTCTATTCATGTGTTCTCACCACCTGACTCCTGGTGGATGTGGTAGAAGCTGGCAGTGTGAACGAAGCTTGTTTTCTGTTCATTGTTTGCATGGTGTAGTTCAGGGCAGGTTCCCATGCTTCCAGAGTAGGGTACTGGGTACTGTGCCTGGCATCTGATCCCAGGCAGAGCAGAAGCTGTACAGGAAGGGGCACCACTGGCTGCTGGGTTGGCAAGAGTGGGGCTTGACCAGGACCCCGGCTGCCGGGAGGAACATAGGAACATAGGAGAACTGCCCCCAACTTCTAGCCAACCTCCAGCTCCGTCCTGTGCCCGCAGGCCACTGTAGATTGCTGCTTGCAAATTCTCAAGCTGGCTGGGCCACTCTGCCCGTTTTCCTTCTAACTGCTCCTGTTCAGCTTCCTCGTCCAGCGGGCACTCAGTCCTGTCCTCTGGATGCTCAGTGTTCTAGGATCATCCTGTGTATCTGTCTCACTCTGTCTCCCGTGTCTCTGTTGCAGAGGGTCGACTGAGTTTCTGCCTGCTCAGCCATCTTGCCTCGGAAGTTCAGTTTATGTTCTTCTTTTATATGAAACCTGAAACCTTTGACATCCAATGCATAGTTAGTTTATACTTGGAGCATGTCTTAATCTGGACCCGCCTCATGTCACACGCACAATAGCCGTATCTGTGGCTGGTGGCCACCATATTGGAGAACACACTTCTAGAACCCCAGGGTGGACCTGGTGTTGGCTCCAGAATGATTTGTTCAGGAAGGGCATCACTGAGGGCTGTCCAGAACTGGAGCCTATACCTGTGGATCTAAATCAAGAGTGATTACTGATTAGAACATTCTAGAGCGAGTGACTGAGTTGTCTGGTTCTAGATTATTCAGATAATTCTATAGCCATAGGGTGGAAATTTTATGCTTCTGGGACTAGGTTAGGGGATTCTAGAATTATGATCACAGCTGGTTGTGTCTAGACTATTCTGGTCGTTCTTAGAATGACAGGGTGTGGCTGAGTGTTCTCAGCTGAGGGGATTCTAGGGAAGGCCTACCAGACATTAGCATGAGTATGCATTTCTCCAATGCTGGAGTGGCAAATCTGGTTCTGAAGTGGCGGAGATTTCTAGAAGCCTTGGCTGAGTTCTGTGGTTTGAGACCTGGCAGAGAATTCTAGAAGCACGGGAGGAACCCGCTGGAGCTCTGACAGTGTGGAATTCTGTCCTGTGATCCTGGGCAGATTGAGAAGAATTCCAGAATACTGAGCATGATGGTCTAGTTCCAGAACCATCGAGTGGGCTTGCCTGTGGCTCTGGGATGTTGTGGCTTCTGGACAGAGGAGCAGAGCCATCTGGTGCTCGCCTGGTGATGGACATGTAGAAACGTGATGGAGTGCTAGATCCATGGTCTGGACGTCCTCAGAGACTTCTAGAACTGGGCACTTTGCCTGGGAAGCCTTGATCATGGACAGAGCTGACTTTAACATTGCAGATTGATGAAGGCAGAGCTGTTGGCCCGTAGTTCTAGGATAAGGAATCTTGTTGGGTGGTCCTAGAACTGGCTCTAGAATTCTATGCTTCTAGACTCCTTAGAGCCAAAATGCCAGCAGGTTGGACAGGGCCAGCTCCCATAGGCTGACCCCACGTCCACTGTTGCCCCCAGCACCCGGTCCCTGTGACCACGAAGACCTCTTAGACGGTGTCATATTCGGGGCCAAGTACTTAGGCTCAACCCAGCTGTTGTCCGAGCGGAACCCGCCCCCCAGCACCCGCATGGCCCAGGCCCAGGAAGCGATGGATCGCGTCAAGGTGAAGCCAGGGCTGGGTGGACAGGGTGGTGAGGGACCTGCAGGCAGATGGGTTGCATGTGGGTCCTGAACCCCCAGAGCCTGTGGGGTCTGCACCTCCCACCCCGCTGTCCACAGGCCCCTTCTGGGGAGACCCAGCCCATGACGGACGTGGACCTCTTTGTCTCCACCAAGCGGATCAAGGTTCTTACGACCGACTCCCAGGTACAGAGCCAGAGGCTGGCATCGGGCATGGGGGGCCCAGCTGAGGGAGAGGCCCGTAGCCCACCCAGCCTGGTCTCCCCCGACCCAGGAAGCCATGATGGACCACGCACTGCAGACCATCTCCTACATCGCTGACATCGGCAGCGTGCTGGTGCTCATGGCTCGGCGGAGGCTGGCCCGGCGGCCGGCTCCCCAGGACCACGACCGCCGGCTCTACAAGATGATCTGCCATGTTTTCCACTCAGAGGATGTAAGCAGCCAAGTGGGCAATCTTGGGGGCAGGAGTGACCCCACTTCTCCCGGAGGTCACCCTGGCTGTGACTGTCACCCCTGCTTCTTTCCCAGAATTCCTCAGAGCGGACAGCATCTCCCTAACCTTTCCCATCAGCCCCTGAGCAGCATGTTCTCACCCCTCCCATAAGCCTTTGGGCCTGACAGTCTATTCCCCTAGACTTTCCTGAGGACCCTAGGCCATCTCTCTCGCCTTCCCACCAAGCCCGGGGCCTCTCCGCCAGTTTCTCCCATAAGTCTCTGCTGCATGTGCTGTCTCCCCAGTGTCTCACATATCCCTGGACTGCCTCCTGGGATTCTTGGGGTGTCAGAGGATATGGGGTCCTGAGGAGGGCTGCCTGTCTCTCCCACAGGCCCAGCTCATTGCGCGGGCCATTGGACAGGCCTTCTCCGTGGCTTACAACCAGTTCCTGCAGGAAAGTGGTATCGATCCCAGTCAAGCGGCCACCAGGCAGAACCTGGGGGCCACAGGGCCTGGCCACCTCCACAATGGGGACCTGGATCACTTCTCCAACAGCGAGAACTGCCGGGAGGTGAGTGGGGCCAAGCCAGGTCGCTGCCCTCACCTAGCATGCCGCCACCCCTTGGACCCGCCTTCAGGCCACCTTTGTCCCCTACCAGGTGCAGGTCAAGAAGCGCCCAGGTGAGGGCCTGGGTGTGGCCCTGGTGGAATCGGGCTGGGGCTCCCTGTTGCCCACGGCTGTCATCGCCAACCTGCAGCGTGGGGGCCCCGCGGAGCGCTCAGGGGCCCTCAGCATCGGGGACCGCCTCACCGCCATCAATGGGGCCAGCCTGGTGGGGCTGCCCCTGACCGCCTGTGAGGCCGCCATCCGCGTGAGTCCTCCCTAGACTGCAGGCCCCAAATGACTCAGACCCAGAGGTCCTCCCCTGACTGACCTCGTCTCTCAGCCAGTTCTGCTCCCACAAGCCCCAGGGACAGATACCCTAACTCTTCCCACAAGCCCCCGGGGCCATACACCCCCTCCCTTCCCACTGTCCACTTAGGGAAACAGGCTGGAGAAAGGGAGTCACTGGTCCAGGGATACCTTGCTCATAACACAAGACGCCCACCACCTGGCTCTAAAGCCAGCGACTTTTCCTCTCTGCTCAAGCCTTACCCCTGATGACCCAGATGGGGAAACTGAGGCTCAAGGACAGGGAGGGACCCGCCAGGTCAGAGAGCGTGGTAGGCATTTGTGTTGCTGAGCGTGGGGAGAGTTAGGGGTGGGGGGTTGGCTTGACTATAAACCTGCCTTTAGCCTGCAGTCCCACCTAGGTTAAAAATCACAGGATCTCCAACTCAAGGCCACCTGACCCCAGAATCTGCCTTTCACCACGTTTCAAAGATCCTTCTAGATTCTAGACCTTTGATTTTAACCCTCCACTTGGCAGGGGGGTAAACTGAGGTGCAGGAGGGACCAAGTCCCTGGGCGCCTTGGCAGATGGGGCAGTTGTGCCTGACCCAACCCCTGTCCTGTAGGAGGTGAAACCGCAGACATCAGTGACCCTCAGCATCGTCCACTGTCCCCCAGTCACTACCGCCATCATCCGCCGGCCCCACACCCGTGAGCAGCTGGGCTTCTGCGTGGAGAACGGCATCGTGAGGCTGGGCCCAGGGAGCCGGGTGGGGGCTGGGTGACCCCAAGCACAGCCCCCTGAGCAGCGCTCTTGCCCCCAGATCTGCAGCCTCCTCCGAGGCGGCATCGCCGAGCGCGGAGGTGTCCGTGTGGGGCACCGCATCATCGAGATCAACGGGCAGAGCGTGGTGGCCATGCCACACGCCCGCATCATCGAGTTGCTCACCGAGGCACACAATGAGGTGCGTGGGGCTGGTGAGCTGAGGGCACCCTCCTGTAGGCTCCAGGCCAGCCCTGAGCTGCCGTCCTCCACTCTCCACCCAGGTCTACATCAAGACGATGCCTGCCGCCACCTACCGCCTGCTCACGGGCCAGGAACAGCCTGTGTACCTGTGAGACCCGCAGCTCCCTCACCCACCGCTGTGCCTTAGCTCTGCCGGCCCCAAGTCTCGTTGCCTCCGCGGTCCCTTGGGGCCAACCGGGGCCCACAGGATTCTCATCCCACGGGTATTTTCTATGTAACAAATTAAAAGTTTATCCACTGACAAAGTCAAATTGAGATTGGTGAAGCCAAGCAAGAAGTACCCCCCCTTCCCCTTCCTGGAAGCCACTAGAAGCCAATGCTGTGGAAATACTCTGTTTATTAGGTTGAGGGATGCAGACTCCAGGTTCTGTACAGGAAACTGGGTCCCAGCTCCAGGGACCAAGAGGGAGAGTGGGTGAGCCAGCAGTTCTGAGGGTTCACAGGTCAGTGGCCGGGCCCCAATCATAACCCTCTTCCTCAGAGGACTCCACGTCTCGGACTCGTGTAAACTTTTTCTTCAGGGCCTCCCGCTCATATGTCCTGGGGGTTGGAAATGGAGTAGAGGCTATGGCAGGGAGGGCATGGGACTTAAGTACCATGAACAGAGGCAGGCACTACATGAAACACCATGAGTGTGGACACAGAGGAAAAAGACTGGCTATCCAGGGACAGAGCCTCAACTCCTATACAGCCTTCAAAACCTCAGCACCAATGTCCCCTCGGCCAGAAAGCCTTCCCAATCCTCTCAGGATTCCTACTCACTTGATCCTGAGCACACAGGGCTCAGGATCTCTCCATCTGCCTCTTGTTTCCCCCACTAAACTATAGAAGCATCGTGAAGGTAGACTATAGACCTGGGTCTCTTCTCCACTCTGCAAAGTCTGGGAAAAAAAGGGTCAAGGGGCTTGGAGTACTGGGCTCTTACCGCATGCTGTCTTGTCGCCACTGACCATGAGGGCTCTGGCTGCCCACCTTTGGGGAGAGGGAGTCAGGAGGGTTAACAGTCTCCCCAAAACGACAATACATTTAGATGATCACCCCCATTGTCCCTTTGCCCCCAGGTAGTGCTACCCCCAGACTTTCTGCCCCACCACCCCTAACAGCAGGCCTCTAGTTTTAAATGAGTAGACAGACGTTGGGACAGAAGAGTTCCTTGGCACAGGTCACCAGACCTGTCACCAGAGAGGAAAGGGGTTTTTGTTGATAAAGCCCTTGAGAGCTGTCAGAAGGAACTTAGAACTGAGTTCATGTAAAGTGTTCAGAACCGCACTTACTCCCTAAGGAGGCTGCTGTGGACAGTTGAGCCCCTGGGGTGGGGTATAGTGCAGATTTACTCGTTTGTTATATTTTCCTAGTGGTGGCTTGTCAGGTCAGCTCTGGCTCATAGTGAGTGACCCTGTATAGGGTTTCCAAGGCAGTAAATCTTTACGGGAGCAGAAAGCCTTATCTTTCTCCCTCAGAGCAGCTCATAGATTCAAACAGCTGATCTTGCGGTTAGCAGCCCAACACGTAACCATACGCTGCTCCTAGAGTGAGCAGGAGACTATCGGGAGGAAGAGGCACCTGTTCCTTCAGAGAGCAGTGCTCTAGATGCTGGGGCAGCCTGGGGTATGGTATTGGCTGCGGTTGAGTTGACCCCGAATCAGGGTGACACGGGAGCACAATGAGATCAGACCGTTGTGATGCAGGTTGCCAGAACTTTCTTCCTAGGCTCTCTTAGTCTAGTGGCTCCACTGAAACCTGTTCACAAACCTCCACAAACAGACAGGTGGTGGCTGCCTATGAGGGACACTGGAGGGAAATCGAACCACTGGGCTCCTGCATGGAAGGTGAGAATTGTTCCACTGAGCCACCACGGCCTCCACCGCACAAATAGGTGCTGTTAAATCGACTCAGACGCATGGTGAGCCCATGTGTGTCAGAATAGACCCTGGCTCCGTGGGGCGGGCAGTGACTGGTTTCTTAAAATTAGATTGCCAGGTACCTCTGGGTAAACCTAAACTGTCAGCCTTGTGGTGAGCAGCTGGGGATGTTAACCATGTGCATGTGGGGAGGCTACCCCACATTGTTGGGATAGTTGTTTCAACCGAGTGACCCCATGAACTGACTCAGGGTTTCCAAGGCCTGCCTTCTGAGAGAGCAGTTTGCAACCACCCAGGGACTCGACCCTATAAGGAAAGCAAACACTGCCATCAAGTGGATTCGGATTCAGGGCGACCATATAGGACAGAGCAAAACTCTTCCCCAGTGTGCTGAGACAAAACCTTTATCAGAGCAAACAGCCTCATCTTTCTCCATAGAGCAGCTGGTGAACTTTGGTTTGCTCCTTACCCCACGATCAAAAAACCCCACCGAATCGATTCTGACTCACAGTGACCCTCTATAGGACAGAGTCGAACTGCTCTGTACGGTTTCTGACAGTATGAACCTTGACGGATACATACAGCCACATCTTTTTTCTACAGAGTTGGCTGGTGGGTTTGAACTGCCAACTCTGTAGTTATCAATTCTATGCTTAGCTCACATCACCACCAGGGCTACACACACACACACACACATTGTTAAGTGCTGGGGAGTCAGTTCCGACTCACTGCAACCCTGTATAGGGTTTCCAAGGAGCGGCTGGTGAGCTTGAAACGCTGGCCTTGCGGTTCTAAACAATCTTGCAGAGAAGCGCACACCAGGACTCCAAATATACTAAGTGCTAAGGAAACTTATTGGAGTTCTGCCATGACGCTATAAGATAAGCACTGGACTGCTAATTGCATGGTTAGCAGTTCAAACCCACTAGCTGCTCCTAGGAAATACACAGGGTCGCTGTGGATCGGGGCCAACTTGACAGCACTTACCAACAAATAAACCTTTAATTGTCAAATGCTCCAGGATGGGCACACAGTTCTTATAGTCATCCCACAATATTAAAGCCCATTAAGACCCACCCCTCCTGGAGTTGCCTATGACTGGTTCAAACAGCCATGTCATCATCTATCCGACACCCTGCAGAACACAGGCTTCCCCATGCATGCCCTCTGAACTGTAAGTGCCCCACCCCCCAGACCTGGTTACCTGGGCTCCCAGGTGGGCTGAGGATCTCCCATGGTCCCGTGGACTCTGGGGCTCGTCCAGCAGCACGGGCTCTGAGGATCGGGCCAGTGCAGGTACTGCTAGGGGCCTCTTGGCCACGTCCACGCGGGGCCCAGCCTCGCCGTCTGCGTACATCTCGCCGTCGGTGTATGCTTCACCGTCGGTGTATGCCTCACCATCAGTGTATCCCTCACCGTCAGTGTATCCCTCACCGTCTGTCTCATAGTCACTGTTGACGCGGCTGTCACAGCTGAGGTCGGCTGAGCTGTCAGCCAAGCCACGGAGAGGGAGGTCCAGGTTGTCCTCGGAGGAGCTGTCCACCTGAAGGATGGGAGGAGTGGCAGAGACATTGGAGCCGTTCCCCAGCCATGTCCATCCTTGGTTCCAAAACCAACTCTTGCTCTGTGACTCCAGCCTGCAGATTCCATCCCAAAGCCAACAAAGAGCCCCAAACTTCAACCCCAAGGTAAGGCTTGACACGCGCCCCAGGTAGAGACTGACCACTAACCCTTGATTCAAGACTTGGCCCCCAACCCTTGGGTTCAGGCCAAACCCAATTAAGAGTAACTCCACAGTTCAAGGCCCTGAGTTTGTCCCTGGACCCTAGTCTTAAAACAGACCAGAGACGGGTGGGGAAGAATCAAGAGAGATGGAGTGATAGATTCTCAGGTCTTGTTGGAAGAAGGGGTTCGTGGCAACCCAAAGTCCTCCAAGGGCAGATTTCTGCCCTTGAATCCATGGCTGGGTTTTGACTTGACACCAAACTGGCATTAACCGTAAGTGGAGCCTCGTAACTCTGAGCTGAGCCCCAATTCTTGACCCGGAACTGAGTTCCCCTAATTTGTCTGCCCCATGTACTAAGCTAAGACCCTAACTCTAGGTTGAACCTTGACCCTGATTGAGCCCTAATTCCTGGCTGACCCGCTGCCCACGCACCTGGTCCTCGGCTGTCCAGACGGGCTGCATCTGCTGCTCTCGGATGGCCGCCTTGAGCTCCTGGTACCAAGAGTCACTGGTGCCGTGCAGATGGATGGTGGCTGCAGGGAGGAACCGTCAGCCTGGCTGGGACTCTGCCCTCCTGCCGGCCCCAGCAGCCCCAGCTCCAGCCCTACCTGTAAAAAGGTGGTCACTATGCTTCTGCAGCTTCTGGGCCTGTGCGTAGAGGCGGCGGGAACTACGTCGCGAGGCAGGGGCCAGCCATTGCCGCAGAGCCTTGAGGGTCGAGCGGCTCTCCGGGACGAAGAAGACCACAATGGGGTAGTACTGCACGTAATTGAGACGCTCGATCGCCGAGGGCGTCACATCTAAGAGTGCGTGCTTGTCCTGGGCCAGCCAAGAAGGGAGAGATGGGAGTGATGATGGATGCAGGCACACCAGAGAGAGACAAAGAGTCTGAGGCCAGAGTGGACAGCGGCCTCTCACACCCACAGGCCAGCATGTCGGGAGACGAGGTCGGTGAAAGTTCAGGCTATGGCATCCTGGGCACTAGAGCCCCAGCCTCTACCCAAGGCCTGCTGGTGTGTGTCAGGATGGGCAGGCTCTCTCCCTCTCTGGGACCGTATGTCATAAAGCCTCTAAGAGGGGGAGCTATGGGAAATTGTGCTTTAGGGACATGGGGCAGGCACATAGGCCTCACGGTCTGACCCCACTTACATTCTCTGCAATCACCCGCACAGTGTCCAGTTTAATGATCTTCGAGGGGCTCTCAGTCCTCAACACGCTCTCTGTCAGGAAGAGGGATGACCAACAGCTTCAGCTACTCAGACACATAGCAACCTGCCTGTCCCTCCTCTGCTCAAGAACCCACCATTGTTCCCCATTGCCCTTAAGAGAAATCCTAACAGCCACAATAGCTCCCATGATCACCTGGGGCTGTGCTGTGTCCCTTTCTGACCTCAGCCTGTGAGGAGAAGACAGCTGTTACTGGCCATTGGTCATAGTTAAGTAGGATTCTGAGGGTGTATCCAGATAGAAAAGGAGCTCTGATAGTGTAGTGGTTACAAGTTGGGCTGCTAATCTCACAGTCAGCAGGAGAAAGATGAGGCTTTCTGCTCCCGTAAAGATTTACAGCCTTGGAAACCCTATACAGGGTTGCTACAAGTCGGAACCGACTCCACGGCACATAACCACCAACCACCACCATCCAAGTAGAAAAAGTGTCCAGATTGATTGGGGTTGTCTGGCCCAAGCATTGGAAAGAGGGCTGGCGGGCCCTATGCTGCCAAGTCTTCTCCTCCAAGTAGTATCAATCCCTGCCTTTTCATGAAGTTGCTCAGCCCCATGGGCTGACCTTCTCACCTGCGATTCCAAACTGCTCAGGCATCTCAGCAGCCAATTTTTGCATCGCAATATCTGCCACGGGTCCCAGGATCACCACCGGGCGTTTGAAGCCGGCTGAGGAGCAGAAGGAAGAGCAAAAACCATTTGCAGCAAAGATCACTAGAGTTTTGACTGACAACCACTTTGCCTTTGGGTTATGTAGTGTTGGCGAAGAAGATTGAATACGCCAAGGACCGGTAGAAGAACATACCAATCTGTCTTGGAAGTACAATCAGAACACTCCTTAGAAGTGAGTTGACAAGATTTCACCTCATGTACTGTGAACACGTTATTAGGAGGGACCAATAACTGTAGAAAGACATCATGCTTGGTGTACGGTAAAGGTCGGCAAAAACGAGGGAGACCTTCAATGAGATGGTTGGACACAGTGGTCGTAACAATGGACTCAAACACAGCAATGATTGTGAGGGTTTCTACATGGGGTCAGTAGAGGTCAGAGCTGACTTGACTGCAGTCTGGGTGGCATTGTATGATAAACACTGGACTTCTAAATCCAAGATCAACAGTTCAAAGTCACTAGCCACTCCATGAGAGAAAGGTAAGCGTTGTGTTCCCCATAAAGATGTATAGCCTTGTAGGGTCACTACGAGCTGAAAACATTTTTCAAAGGGCAGCCTGAGATGACAAAGTCAAGAATTATAATGAAATGTGCAAAGACCTTGAGTTAGAAAACCAAAGGGGAAGAACATGCTCAGCATTTCTCAAGCTGATGGGATTGAAAGAAAACATTCAAGCCTCAACTTGTAATATTGAAGGATTCTATGGGTAAAATATTGAGTGATGTAGGAAGCATCAAAAGAAGATGGAAGGAATACACAGAGTCATTGCCCCAAAAAGAAATGGTCGTTGTTCAACCATTTCAAGAGGTAGCAGATGATCAAGAGCCAATGGTACTAATGAAGAAGTCTAAGGTGCACTGAGGCATTGGTGAAAAACCAGGCTCCAGGGATTGATGGAATACAAAATGAAACATTGCAATAAACTGGAGGCACTCACTCATGTATGCCAAGAAATTTGTCTACTGACTGGAAGAGAGCCATATTTGTGCCCATTCCAAAGAGAGGTTGCCCAGTGGAATGCAGAAATCATCCAACAATACTATTAATATCACATGCAAGTAAAATTTTGCTGAAGATAACTCAAAAATGGCTGCAACATCACATCAACAGGGAATTGCCAAAAACTCAAGCCAAATTCAGAAGAGGATGTGGAACTAGGGATCTCACTGAAAGCAGAGAATAGCAGAACGATGTCTGCCTGTGTTTTCTTAACTATACAAAGGCTGTGTGGATCATGACAAACTATAGATAACGTTGCAAAGAATAAGTATTCTAGAATGCTTAATTGTCCTCATGAGGAACCTGTACGTAGACCAAAAGGCATTTGTTAGGACAGAATAAGGAGATACTAAATGGTTTAAAATCTGGAAGAGTATGCACCAGGGTTGTATTTTTTCACCTTACTTATTCAGTCTATATGCTGAGCAAATAATCCAAGAAGCTGGATTATATGAAGAAGAACGTGGCATCAGGATTGGAGGAACACTCATTAACAACCTGCGTATGCAGATGATACAACCTTACTTGCTGAAAGTGAAGAGGACTTAAAATACTGATGAAGATCAAAGACTACCTCCATGTAAAGAAAACAAAAATCCTCACAACTGAACCAATAAATAACATTATGATAAATGGAGAAAAGATTGAAGATGTCAAAGACTTTCATTTTGCTTGAATCCATAATCAACACTCATGAAAGCAGCAGTTAAGAAATCAAATGATGTATTATTGCATTAGGCAAATTTGCTGCACAAGACCTCTTTAAAGTGTTCAAGAGCAAAGATATCAGTTTGAGAACTAAGGTGCACCTAACCAAGACATGGTATTTTCAATCACCTCATATGCATGTATGGCACTGTGGGTTAATGTGCTGGACTGTAGGGTTGGTTTGAACCACAAGGTCGGCAGTTCAAGCTCACCAGTCACTCCTCAGAAACCCTATACAGGGTCGCTATGAGTCAGAAATGACTTGACAGCATGTAACAATAACAACATATACATGTGAAAGTTTGGAAAATGAACAAGAAAGATTATAGAAGAATTGATGTATTTAAGTGTTGGAGAAGAATACTGAAAGTACCATGGACGGCCAGAAGAACAAACAAATCTGTGTTGGAAGAAGTACAGCCAGAATGTTCCTTAGGCGGCAGGATGACCAGACTGGAGGGTTTTTTTTTTTGTGTGTGTGTGTGTGTGTGTTGTTGTTTTTTTTCTTTAACCATAACACAGCAAGGCTAAATACTACATCTCCCAGCACCCCTTGCAACTAGCTGTGGTCATGTGACTAAATTTTGGCCAGGTGGGATGCAAGCTGAATTGATGTATGCAATTCTGGAGTACATTCTTTAAGGGAATGCAGCCCTGCCAGCCTTGTTTCTCCTTCCCTCTCCTTGTGAATGTGGGTGAACCGTCTAGGGCCATGAAGACAGGACAGGAAAACAAGATGTTCCAAGCCAAAGTCCAGAAAAGCACCAGGTCAGTGTACTCCTCACACTAGAATAGTTTCTTAAAAAATAAATTTAGTTTATGTTGCTGTTATTTTGGATCTCTGTTAAAGCAACTGAACTTACTTAACATCAGCCCATGGGCACAGTCCGGCCCACATTGTTTTTGTAAATAAAGTTTTATTGGTACACAGTCATGTCCATTTGTTTACATAGTGTCTATGGAGTCCAGGTAAGGAGCTCTGGTAGCAGAGTGGTTACGAATTGGACTGCGAACCACAAGGTCAGCAGTTCGAAACTACCAGCTGTTCCGCGGGAGAAAGATGAGGCGTTCTGCTCCCATAAAGATTTACAGCCTCGGAAACCCTGTACAGGGTCGCTATGAGTAGGAACCAATGACGGCACAGAGCCACCATGGAGTCCAGGTGTGCCACTGGGTCAATGTGCCAGACTGCAAAGCCATTTGAACTGCAAGATCGGCGGTTCAAACTCACCAGCTGCTCCTCGGAAACCCTGTACAGGGTCGCTATGGGTCGGAATCGACTCAACGGCACTTAACAACAACAACAAAGGCTACTTTCTGATGGATTTGATTACCACAGAGGCTACCTGGATCACAAAACCTAAAATAGTTACAGTTTGGCCCTTTATAGGAAAAGTCTGTCAACCCTGGACTAACGGATCAACCTTTTCACTGATGAGGAACTAGGTAGGGAGAGTATCAAGATGGGAAGGGAAGGAAGTGGGCATTGTAAGGGTAGATATAAATAGAGAAAAAAACATACAAAACTTCTCCTGGTACAAAACGGGAGATGCTCCCCTGCCCTTGTTTTTAAAACACTGACTTTAAACAACTTGTCGATGGAAATTCTTTCTAGGCCTCTTTTTAAATGTATATAAATCCTTCCAGAAGGCTAAACAAACGTCTTGCCAGTTTTACAACCAAAGAATGAATACGATCTCCCCCAGACCTGGGACCCATTCCTTGAAATGTTATCATCCACTGCTACCAAGTTGGCTCTGACCCTGTACAGAGCTTCTGAAGCTGTAAATCTTTACAGGAGCAGAAAGCCTTATCTTTCTCCAATGAGTGGCTGGTGGGTTTGAACTGCCGACCTTGCGATTAGCAATCCAGTTCTTATCCTAAAACGTACTCCAAAATTCAGAAGGGTGGAGGGGGGAAAGAAGGAACGGAAACAGGAGACACAGGGAGGAAGTGGGATACTTAATATGTAGGGGCAGGGCATGGGGGGGTGGATTGTCATCAGCGAGATGAGACACAACAGGTGTGAATTATTGAATGGAAAGTTGAGGCTTTACTTTGTAAACCTTCACCCAATTCACAATAATTAGTTAAAAACAGATAGCACCTCCTCCCATCCTGGTCTCTCAGGTTCTGTGGGGGGTGGCTAAGAACCTACTTTCAAAGAGCACCTTACTCCAAGTTACAAAACGACCTCATTTTACACGGTGTCATAGTCATTGGTGATGTATGATAAGCACTGGACACCAAGGTCCGTTTGAACCATAAGGTCGGCAGTTCAAATTCACCAGCTGCTCCTTGAAAACCCTAGACAGGGGAGGGTCGTTATGAGTTGAAACTGACTTGCTGGCGTTTAACGAGTCCATGGGGTTTCTGAGACTGAATTTTTACAGAAGATAGCCTCATTGTTCTCCCGAGAAACAGCTTGTGGGTTTGAACCGCTGACCTTGCAGTTCGCAGCCTGACACTTAACCCATCGCACCACCTGAGCTCCATTCTTTCATTGTTGTTGTTGTTGTTGTTAAGTGTCATCGAGTTGGTTCCAACCCATAGTGACCCTGTCAGCAGCTGGACAATTGACACACACAAGGGGCCTACTCCAAGTTCAGGCATAAACCTTGGTGATATTGTGGGTTCGATTCCAGAACATCACAATGAATTGTTTTGTTCCCCAGGTTTACTGCCGCTGCCATTGCATGCCAAGTCGGTTCTGATTCCTAGTGACCCTGTGTAGGGTTCCCAAGGCTGTAAATCTTCATGGGAGCAGAAAGTCTCACCTTTCTTCCACAGTGACTGGTGAATTCAAACTGCTGACCTTGAGGTTAGCAGTCCAACACATAACCCACTACGCTACCTACCAAGGCTCTTTGTTTCCCAGGGCTTATAAAAGTCATGTTTACCTTATCCTGTTGTCTAAGAAGCGTGCAACAGCATCTTGAAAAAACTTGAAATATGGTTGTTAAGTGCCGTCGAGTCGATTCCAACCCATAGCGACCCTGGATAGGGTTTCCGAGGAGCAGCTGGTGAGCTTGAACCGCTAACCTTGCAGTTCAAACAGCTTTGCAGTGTGATGCATTAACCCACAGCACCACACAAAGACTCCCACTGTTGTTAGTGGGTCCTATTGCCTCTCAGGTAGAATATATCTAAATCTGAAATTATTATCTTGGTTAAGATCCACTTTCTCAATTAGCATTACTTCCCTCCAGTTCTCAAACTTAACACTACCGTTGAACTCTTCTTTTATGTTTCTCATGTTGCCAAATTGCATTGACTTTACTTATTAATTCTTAGGTAATTTACTAATAAATATAATTGATTATTTTTAAAAAGAAGAAAGAAAACCCTATAGGGCGCAGTAGTTGCTTTCCATTGTGCATAGGATCTCCAGTTAACATCAGCAGTTACCCAGGCCCCTCTGGGCACCTGGCCCTTCTCCTTTTCCTTATTTCTTTAAGCCTTTCTTTTCTTGGTCTCTTACAAACTGGATACATCGCGATTTCATTTCATCACGTCCATTGGTAGAAAGTAAATGCCGTGGCTTCTGTATTTTTTAAGCTTGACATTGGGGGCAGCAGCCGGAAGAACTGCATTCTAGAGCTTTGAATATTAACCTGCTCTGTCCTGGGGATCTGCTATCCCACCCCTTTTGCAGATTTCTCTTTAAGGCCTTGGCACCTGGTGTTTAATCCTTCTTCCCTGAGACTATTATCAAGAGCTTAATCTCTTCCCTTCCTGAAAACCAGAGGAGATTGTTTTCTTTCTCCCACACTCTCAGGACTCCACGGCACATAACGACAACAACAACAACACTCTCAGGTAAAGAAACCTAAGTGCTGAATTTTGTGTGTCTGTATTATTGGTATTATTTCATTGTGGCAAAATGCACATGACATCAAATTGACCATCTTAACTGTACAATTAATTACCGCTTAATTAAGCTTAACCGCTTAATTTAAAGCGTACAATTCAGTGGTACCCACTACCAGCATCACCTAGGTCCAGAATACATTCATGGTCTCAACAGTTGCTCCCTGTCGCCCTCTCCCAATGAACCCCTCAGTACAGGGACCCTGTACAGGGTTTCTGAGGCTGTAAATCTTTATAGGAGCAGAAAGTCTCATCTTTCTCATGAGGAGTGACTGGTGGGTCTGAACTGCCGACTTTGCAGTTAGCAGTCCAATGCTTATCCTACAGCACCAGCATGGCTTCCTCATAATCACTTGGCAACTACTAATCTACTTCCGGTCTCTCTGGATGTACTTATTCTAGACACCTCATACTCTTAGAATCAGATAATACTTCTATGATTGACACATATCTGTCAGCGTGGTGTCTTGTGGTGACGAACGTGTTGCTGAGATGCTGGGAGCTATGGCACTGAGAGTGTTTGGTGCCACCCCCTTGAATGTATCCCCCATTCCCACTGTTGTGTTGGGTGTGGCGGCTGCTGGCCACATGTGGATGTGAAAACATTGAAATGCAGCAGGTCCCAATTCATGTGTGCTCCCGGGATAAAACACACCCCAATCCCATCTCTGAGACTGAGCACATTAAAAAACAGGAAATGCCACTGATGAGAATCTTTTCATGGATTGTCCATTGGAATCATAGGGTTGACATGTTTTGTGGCTGTTGTGTGTCATCAAGTCAGTTCCGACTCAGTGACTCTATGGGGTTCTGAGGCTACAATTGTTTATGAGAGCAGAAAGCCTCATCCTTATCCCTCAAGCAACTGGTGAGTTTAAACTGCCGACGTTGTGGTTAGCAGTCCAGTGGTTACCCTACAGCGCCACCAAGGCTCCTAGAATTTCTTCCCTTGAAATACCAACACGGAGTCCCCAAAATTCATAGTCCCAACCAAAACTGTTCAATAGAGACTGAATTTACAAACAGAAAAGAGACAGAATATTCCTCAAACTGTCGCACAGATTGACAAAACAGATCACCAAAATTAACCTCAATGACTCTGAAGTTAATTCACTTCTGCAGATGATGCATGAGAAAAGTTCATGGAAAATGTCCACGATCTTTTCATTCAATCTTTCCATGAACCTTTTCAAGCCTCCTTGTATGTGGCTCACATTGTATTTCTACTGGAAATGATAATTAGTTCCAAGGAATAAAACCCTTCTCTATCTCTCTGTTCCCTAAAATAACCCTAGGTGCCCGTTTTCTGTGGAAGAAGAGATGTAAGGATACAGTGTTTGGAGACAGGGTGTAGGTAAACACATGGGTAGTTTTCAGCATTGAAGGGAAGTCCCCAGGAGGTGTAAATGGCTAATTTGTGCTCACTGCTAACGGAAAGGTTGGAAGTTCAAGTCTACCCAGAGGCAACTTAGAATAAAGTTGTTTTTTAAAAAAATCTACTTCCAAAATCTCTATCACTAGAAATGCTATGGAGCATTACAACACTTTTCCCAACAGCTAAAGGGTGGAGCTCTGGTAGCATAGTGGTTATGAATCGGGCTGCAAACCTCAAGGTCAGCAGTTCAAAACTACCAGCTGTTCCGCGGGAGAAAGATGAGGCTTTCCACTCCCATAAAGATTTACAGCCTCGGAAACCCGGTGCAGGGTTGCTATGAGTCGGAACCGGCTCCACGGCACATAACAACAACAAAAGGTGAAACCAACAAAACGTCTATCCACAGATGAATGGTCCGTCCACCCCACGGAATACTCCTCAGCTCTAAAGAGTACCAAAGTGTGGATGCCACAGTGTGGATGAATCTTGGGCACGTGATATGGAGCAAAATCTGTCAGTCCCCAGAGGACAAAGACTGTCTGAACCCACCTCTATGCAATAAACCAACAGATAGAAACCAAACATGACTCGTGTTAACCAGGGGAGGGAGGGAGGAAGAGTCGTTGTCTGGGGGCTAGGTTGACGCTCATGATGGTAGAAATCATTAGGAAAAGAAGGATGAGAATATTATCGAGTTGTACCCGGAGAAACTGATGAGTTGGTGAAGGTTTTGATGTGCACGTTTTCATCATGGAAGTAATAAAGATGCTATATAGAACAGCTCCACGCTGGTTCATGGGTAGGAATGGACTCTTGTTTGGGGAGCTTTTCAGTTTTTTAAGGGGTGTGGCTGGCTAGGAGGATATCCTCTTCCAGGCCAATGCATTTATTTGTTCAACAAGTACAATCTGCAAGGGAGCCCTGGTGTGGCACTGCGGGTTAATGTGATAGACTACAGGGTCAGCAGTACAAACGCATCAGCCGCTCTTTGAAAACCCTATACAGAAAGGGTCCCTGTGAGTCAGAACTGACTCAACAGCACTTAACAGTAACAACATCAGCAAGGAGTTCTGGTGGGGAATGGTTAAGTGCTCAGCTGCTAATCCGAAGGTGAATGGTAATTCAAACCCAGCAGCCTCTCCTCAGGAGAAACAGGCAGTGGACTTCTGTCAAGATTTACAGCCTTGGAACCCCCCTGGGGCAGCTCTACTCTGTCCTAGCGAGCTGCTAGGAGTCAGAATCAATGGGAAGGCTACGGGCACTTTTTTCTTCTTCTGTTGGTCCACACTCCATCAGTGTGCCATACTGTGGTGGCTAATGTGTTGTTGTGAATGTGAAGCTGGAAGCTGATGTGTTTCACATACCAGAAGAGTCACCTGTGGTGGATGGATTTCAGTGGTTTCCAAACTGAGACTAGGAAGAAAGGCCTGGTGATCTGCCTCTAAAAAACCTGCCACTGAAAACTCTATAGAACACAGTTCTACTCTGACAACAATGGGTAGTCACTGGCAAGGGATTATGGGGATTGTAGTTTTTAAAGATCCCAGGTGGCCCAGGACTTCCTTTCTGAGGACCCCCTACACCCTTGTTTTTGTGCCGGGCCCTACCTTCTCGCAGCACCACTCGCTCATAGGGCGGGTAGTGACCCTGCTTGGTCAGAGCTGACAGGTCCTCGCGGCTCTGGTGGGTGGTCTTCTTGGCTCCACGACGAAGACCCCGCAGCCGCCAGAATTCTCCTCTTGCGTTGGAACTGGCCGAAGAGCCGGGCCCGACCCCCACAGCCCTCTGGGCAGCCTCCAGACTGGCCAGCTGCTCTGCCCTAAGGAGGAGAGAGGCCTATTAGATGCTGTGGCCTACACAGTGCTGGTCCCCACAAATGCCCACATCCTAGTCTCTGGAACCTGTGACTTCCGGTATTTTCCATGACAATAGGCTTTGCAGGTGTGATTAAGGTGGGGATTCTGAGATGGCAAATGGTCCCTGACCGCTGGGTTGTTAATTGCCTTGGGTCCGTTCCCATTCATAGCGACCATGTGTAGAGTTCCCAAGAGTGCCTGGTGGGTTTGAACTGCCAACTTTTCAGTTACCAGTCTAGTGCTCATCCTACAGCGCCATGTGGTTGTTGTTAAGTGCCGTCGAATTGGTTCTGAGTCATAACAACCCCATATAGGGTTTCCTAGGAGCAGCTGATAGGTTTGAACTACAGGCCTTGTGGTTCGCAGTCCAGTTCTGATCCTACAGCGCCATATTAGGACTCAATGGCCAGATGGGCTCAATATAATGACCATCACAGTACCCCCATGTGTTACAAAGCAGAACGGCCCCAGAACAGATTCCTAGGCAGTGCAAACAGCTTGCACTCTGTGGTGTACGTAAGGAATGTGGTGGCTCTGTAGGAAAAGCATTGGACTACAAACCACAAGGTCAGTGGTTCGAGCCCACAAGTCTCTCTGTGGGAGAAAGAGGAGACTTTCTGCTCCCCCAGAGATTTATAGTTTCAGAAACCCCATACAAGGTCACTATGAGTCAGAAACAATTTGCTAGCACTTAACAACAACAATAGGAATCCTGGTGTGGTGCTGTGGGTTAATGCGCCAGACTGCAAAGCCATTTGAACTGCAAGGTCGGCAGTTCAAGCTCACCAGCTGCTCCTCGGAAACCCTACACAGGGTCGCTATGGGTCAGAACCGACTCAACGGCACTTCACAACAACAACAAATGGTGTAAATGAAGAATAGTATTTATACCAGGACCTGTCAGAAGAACAAACAAATCTGTGTTGGAAGCAGTACAGCCAGAATATTCCTTAGAAGGGAGGAAGGTGAGACTTTGTCTTATGCACTTTGGACACGTTGTCAGGAGGGACCAGTCCCTGGAGAAGGACATCATGCTTGGTAAAATAGAGGGTCAGTGAAAAAGAGGAAGAACCCCTACGAGACAGATTGTCACAGTAACAACAAAACAGGCTCAAACATAACAATTGTAAGGATGGTGCAGGACTGGACAGTGCTTGGTTCTGCTGTACGTAGGGTCAGTCAGAACTGACCTGACTGCGCATAACAACAACACTAATCTACATGTGGGTGGCACTGAGGAAGAAAGGTCTGGCTGTCTGCTTCTGAAAGGTCACCATATGGAGTATGGTTCTACTCTGCACTTGTGGGGTGCTGCATTAGAATGGATTCAACAGTAACAAGATGGTGGCATCCATTAACACAGCCATCAGAGACTCAGGCAAGTGCCGACTGTATGCAGCCTGGGCCCTTGGCACGCCTCCCTATTGGTGTTGCGAAATATTGATACTGTGCCCCTTCCCACTGGGGAACCTCTGAGTGGGGAGGCCGGTAGGGCAGAGGCAGGCGTGGCACCCACCCACCTGCTCTGGTTGGGAATGGTCCCTCGCTCCTGCTCCTGGAGGTCCCGACCCATGCGGGCTGCTAGCCAGTGGCCCCCTCGGGTATGGCTCTGCCCGGAGCCTGGGTACAATGTATCCACCACGTGGAAGACATCGCCACGCGTGAAGCCCAGGCCATGTGGGGGACTGGGCTCCATCTCGAAGTGGGTTCGTATGTAGAAGGAATCACCCACACGGGACTGCACCATCTTCTGGAAGACTGCAGGGAACAGAGGAAAGCCATGTGAGCCACCCTTTACTGGCGGGCTTCACCTGCCCCCAGGGACCACCATGGGGACACACTGGGGTCTGAGAGCTAGGGGCAGGGATGGACAGAAGGTACACATTCCAGTGCTCACCACTGGGCCGCCAGGGTAGGGACTTTCTGGCTAGGACACATATACACATGCACATAGGGCATATCCAAACACATGTGCACACACAGTATCTCCACATACATGTGCACACACCTACACATGGATACATGTTCACATGCACAGACATGTGACGTGCATATACCTGTACACATACATTGACACGGTGTGTGCATATGCACATAGACACACATGCATGCTCATTATGTTCACATACATGTGGACACAAGTACACAGATACGCACAGTCATTCACATATATATAGACGCGTGTACACGTGGTACGTGTGTATACAAGGATTGTGCACAAGTGCAGGCATGTGTACATAGTACAGATACATAAGCACGCAGTACACATGCACATTGCACGGAGGTGTGCATACATGCATGTAACACTGTATGTGCACATACATGTATGTGCACGCACACCGACATACACTACTGTGCACATGGTACATTGTACACACACACCAACAGGTCCACACATACAAGTTACACACAATACATGCACACATGTGTATCCACACACACGTGTCTGCACACACACAGTCATACATGTGCATGTCCAGAGGCACATGCACACACAACACACACACATGCCAGTCCACGTGCATAGATGCACACAGTGCACACTCACTGTCATGCTTCCGCTGCATCACTAGTTCCACCTCCTCGCCTGGGGGCAGTCCCAGCAGGAACTGCACAGCCTCCTCCCTCGTCAGGTTCCGGAAGGGCATGTCATTCACCTGCCAGGAAGGGGGTGCCAGGAAGGGACGTAGTACCAGGTAGTACCCCAGCTGGGCATCCCAGACTTTCGTCAGGACAAAGCCTATCCCAGTTGTTCCCCAGTATCCTGGGGGGCGGGGAGGGTAGTTGTGATGTCGTCACCTTATGATAGCAATACATTGAGGGCAGCTCCCACATCAAGGCTGTGACCCAGAAAACAAGGTCATGACCCAGACAGCAAGGTCGTGACCCAGACAAGCTATTGACTCTGAATACAATAAGGACATGACCCAGACAGCAAGATTGTGACCTAGACTACAGCAAGGTCATGACTCTAACAAGAGAATGACCTACAATAAAACAAGGTCGTGACCTTGACAACAAGCTGGTGACCCAGGTCATGAGGAGAGGTTACAGCGCAGAAATGACCACGGACTGAGGACACAGAGACAGGGAGTCAGTAAGATACTTGCGCACAGCAGACATGGACACCCCCCAGCTCACCTGCAGGATCTGGTCCCCCTCCTGGATGCCCTGCCCATCAGCCGCACTGCCCGCCTGCACCCCTGACACGAAGATGCCCACGTCGTTGCCCCCAGCCAGCCGCAGCCCAATGTTGGCCCCCTTGGTGAAGAAGACCACCCGTGCATCAGGACTATACCTGTGATAGCAGGAGATGGGTCAGACAGACAGGCTAAGGGGGCTGCTTTCCCAGGCCTCCGTTTCCCAGCCAGCCCCACAAGGTGGTCCCAGGGTAACACAGTAAGTTGGGAAGGAAGTAAAAATGTGGATGCCTTGGGTTTAGGGGGTACGTACCCATGATCCCTTATGTTCTGGCCACTGGGTACCCGGTAGATGTCATAGCTGGTTTCTTGGGGAGAGTCTGGAAGAGAAAAGACTGTTTTGTTCCTAATCCCACAGGCTCAGCTGAATCTCCACACTTTTGCTTTGGGGGTATGTCCATTTGTCTGGTCTCTGGTAGCCAGCTGGTCCAGATATTGCTGTGAATGTATTTAACAAGAGATGTGATTAACAGAGAAATCCGTTGACGTGAATAAAGTGGATCATCCTCCACAATGTGGGTGGGCATGATCCAATCAGGTAAAGGCTGTTCGAGCAAAAACAGGGTTCCAGAAGAAAGAATTGTGCCTCCAGACTGAAGCGCAGAAACCCTGTCACTTTCCAATCTGCTGTCTGACCTAGGGATTTTGGACTTTTCAGACCCTTAAAATAAATCTCTGTGTGTGTATATGTGTGTGAATACACACTTTTTCTATACATACACACACATTGTTGGAGTCCTGGTGTGGCACTGTGGCTAATGCATCAGACTGAAAAGTTGTTTGATATGCAAGGTTGGTGGTTCAAGCTCACCACTTGCTCTTTGGAAACCCTTTACAGGGTCAGTATG